TTTGAAAAGATAAGATTCCTTTCTGACCCAAATCTAGGAAGTCAACTTCCTTTTTAAATATTGATGACAATCTAAAACTTCTTAGTGTTCCCAGACAGTTTCATACATCCTCTTAGTGGTCAGAATAATGGCCCACTATGAACTAACAACCGCAGCAGAATAGCCTTAAAGTTGAGGAATATTCCTTTTTCTGCATTTTGGTTTGTTCCCTTTGAAACAGGCCCAGAATAACTGTGATTCTCTGAGAACATTTCTCCAAAAATACTCGATATTAGGGTTTATGAAACAAATATATAGTGTGAGGAGAAAATCCAAAGCTCCAACAATCCAAATAGCAATCACAGGCATATCTATTCCTATGTCGAAAGAAAAGATAATAATAATAATACTTGTAAGAAGAAGCTGCTAATCCCTAAAGCCTCTGAGTAGAGTGAAGAAACCTGTGAAAAGAAATTAATAACTTTCAAAGTGTAGCTTTGAAAATTGAATTAATAAAAATGCCACCACCCCCCTCCCCCATTAAGCCTCTATAATGAGAAAGGTTTTATTTTTTTAAACCTTGGCAAAAAAGAAAAAATATTAAGAGCACAGAACATCTGCATTCCCATGGAGAAACTTGACAAATGTCATGCATCAGTGAGGGAGGAAGAGCCAGCATCCCGATACTTCTCCTTATTTAATGTCTTCGAGATTTTTTCCTAACCCTGTTGCTCTCTCTTTTGTTAGGCAAGTGGAGAACAAACTCTCTGTTGGATCTGGACACTCCCTCTCCCCAGAACATAAATTCCTACTAATCCTAATCCAGAAAAAAAAAAAAAGTCCTTAGTTAAGTTCTCTGATTAGTAATACCATCTTCCAAACCAGTGGGACATCAGAAGTGGGATCTTACAGAAAGGGAAGGGCGGTGTTAGGGCCGAAGAAAGATGCTACCTTGCACAAATGCTGTAGTCAATTAAAAAGTGGGCCGTGCATGTTCAGATCAACATGTGAGTCAGAACACGGGGATGGAATAAATGTTCCTAAGCAGAGATTAGGAGCAAGGTGTCAGGCACTAGGTGTCAAACAGCTGAAAATCAAGCCATCTTTTGGATTTGTTGTGCCCTCATTTCCTCTCCAGAATGATACAAAAAAAGTTCACAAACACAGAAAAAACTTCTAGAGTGATAGGGAGTTCCCAAATCCCAAACTCTGGGGTTCCCAGTGAAACATCTCTCCGTCCTGGCACTCTCTTTAATTTCTGGAGCAAGAGAGAGAGGGTAAATCATGCCCAGTAGTGAGAAATGTGAGGAAAACAGAAAATCTCCTGCCTTTTAAAACAAAAACAAAGCTGTGCTTTTATTTTCTCAGGTTTAATTTGCACTAGTCATGGGGATACTACTGAGTAGAATTTGGGGCCTGATGAAAGGGCCACCTGGTCCCATATGCCTCTTGGAATAACTGATTTCCAAGCATAGTTTTTCCTTTATTAAGATACCGCGGTTCCAAAAGGAAAGAAGCCTCTTACCCTGCCTAGAACCTTAACTACAGCAACTCTTGAGGTACTTATCAATGCGTTCATTTTCTTATCTGGATATTAATTAAGCAAATCTGTTAGTGGGCAGACTAAGGGGTGGCCCAGGAACCCCAAACTTACATACCTTAAAGAGGTTCAGAGTCCAGTGCATAAAGATAAAGCATACTCTTAGTTTGAAAATACTTTCACAGGATGGTTTGCATAGAGGGGGAAGAAGAGAAAGGTTATAGTTTCCCCCTGAAACACCCAAAGTTACCCAACCCCTCGTTTGTAAATGCCCAGTCAAATAGAGTTGGCCCCAAGCATGGCCACAGGCCCCTGAAATTTTGCAACAAGTCTCGGCCACCTCATGGCAGGAACCATAGGAAGGGGAAAGAGAGGCTAGGCAAGTCTGGGACAAAAACAGGAAAACCAAAACACAAATCAAGGAAATTGTCAGCCTCCCCAGATGTCTCTTGCAAGTGTCTCTAAGCGTCTCATGTCTCTTCCAAGTCCTCCAAGTCCCTGGTGCAAGCCCAAAGCCGAGAACCAAGCACACCCTCCCTCACATGCCCCATACTCCCTGCGTCTCCCCTTCTGTGTCTTCCAACCTGTATCCTCCTCTGGCTGTGAGCTGTGGACCTCACTGGCTGGGGCGGGGACCCTGGAACTTCCCCTTTATGAAAGGGAGATTCGTACGTTACTAAAATACAACACACTGCACCAGAGACAGCACGAGCGAAGACTGCAGTCGTGAGCCAGGAAGACTCGGTCTCTGCCAGTGGGAGAGGATGAATCCGTTCCTTTTGATGCTTCAGGCCTGCCTGACATGGCTGGGTTTAGAGTCAAAGGTCAGAGACCTGTGGAAGCACTAGCCGTTGCTAGTATTAAATTCTTTTCCTATTGCTTCCTGTTACCTCCACAGCAGGAGTTGATATCCAAACACAGGAATATACTGCTTCCAGAGAATTCTGGATCTTTTTCTAGATTCCCAAAGTTTTGTCAATTGCTGCAACAGAGTTATATTTTATTTTGTTTTATTTTTTGGTGTTTACCAAAAAATGTGCTTTTGCTGAAACAAAGCACGTAGACAGAATATTTCCTAAAGAAATGCAAATCATGGTTTCTGGATCTGTTCTAATGAGAATGTCCAGGGTACTCCTATAGAAATAATAGCCCAGAAAAGCGGTATTATTAGAGAGAATGAAATTGCCTTTTTACTAGAAGAGGAAGAGTAACTTTCAGGTGTTTAGAAGCAAAAATGTTTTTCGTGTTTACAGCAAAGGAAAGACCTCTTTTTGAAGTGGTCTTTGAAGCAGGCTTAAGCATGTCAAGTCTGCTCTGACACTGAAAATGTTTTCCTTTTTCCCACTGTTGCCACCTGGCGGAGGAAAATGATTGCTTTAAACAGCGAATAGGATCATACCTCACTGCTACCACAAGGTGGCAGCACACAACCAGGTTTCGGAAATGTTATCTGAAATGAACTAGCTCATAGTGGACACGACAGGAGTCAGCAGTCAGGCTTTAAGCTTCCTCTGAAGTGCCTCCTCAAGTTGATTAGCAATGACGATACAAACTATAAGCACACAGGGCTCCCTCCTACATCTGACCAGTTTAGGGAAACTCTCCTTACATGTGGGAACAATTTACCGATACTAACTGCCTAGTGAACTTTTGGTAATGCTGAGTTACAGCCAAGTATTTTCAAAGCTTTTAAGATACGAGGACAGCTGTGCCGTTCTTGGAATTGCAGTAAGAGTGAAGAAAACAGTCAGCCGCTGGAGGGTATTTCCTTGTGACCTCTTTTAGATTTGCAAATGAAAAAATTCTGTAAAGAAAGGATAGACTGAGCCCAGCCACGGGCAGAATTGATCTCAAAGATCTGACCGCTTAGTACTAAATCAGAGACTAAAAAACTTAACTACCCAGATTCTCTGTTGTTTTAGCAGAATATCCACTGTTAGGAGGCTGCTAGAAATATATTTATTTTGCTCACAATTTCAAGATCCTGGATCTGTTTTGACCCCTGGTGCAAAGTGCTGTCATGCATTGGCTGGATGACAAGAGTGAACAGTAATAGAGTTGGCAGGGGAACACACAGTCTAGCTGTAAGGACAAGCAGCAATCAAAACATCTGACAAATATACCTGAAATTAAAACTGAAATGAGTGTTGCTCAGGAAAGCAGATTATAAAAAGGACTCCAAGGATGATTTCCCTGTGCAAATGATTATCACTGAAATCTGAAGCATGAGTGGTATTTTTCATAGAAATATCATTGTTTTTTCAGTTGATGAAACATGCTACCCTGGGAAATAAAGGAAGGTTAATGGAAGGTGTAGACGGCAGACATTGAGGAAGCCGGAGAACTGGTGGGTTGGAGAACTGTGGGAGTCAAGCATAGGATCTGGTCTTTATCCTGGAAGCCACAAGAAAGTATGGAGGTTCGCAGCAGGTGGTGGGGTGGCCGGCTCTCCAATTCAAAAGACTCTCTGGCTTCAGAGAGGAACCTTCCCTAGTAAGGAGATGTCTGTCAGATGCAAGGCTACCCTCTGATCTTGCATAGAAGAAAATCTGTAGCCCATAGCCATGGACTGGACTCCGGGACCTGACCAGATGTTCAGTGGATCCTCATTTATTTCTTTAGATGTATTTCTAAAGATAGGTTACTATGGTTTACTTGATAAGGATCCTTAAAAGGGAGTCCAAGATTTTGACCTTCAACACAGATTTATTTATACCATTCTGTGCATATTTGTTGAAAATACACCACATGTCAGACATAATCTAGGCATCAGAGACAATGGTTCACAAGATACACACGGCTTCTAGCCCCAGGGAGTGGATAGTCTAAGGCAGGAAACAAAGTCTAAACAAGTGCCACTACAATTAGCAGCGCAGGGGAAGGATGGGAAGTTACAGAGGTGCCAGTTTGATAAGGTGGTGGGGCAGGTCCTACGGGACTGGTGACATGTTTGCCGAGATCTAACAGCAGCGGAGGGGCGGGGCATGCAAAGATTCGGGGGAGGAGCCCTCCAAGCAGATGAAGCAGCAAGTGCAAAAGTGTGAAAGTGGAACATCCTTTGCACTTGGAAGCAGGGCCTGAAAATCAGCTGGTCAGAGCGGAGTAAAACAAGGACAGATGGATGCACAGGGTTGTGGGACAGACACATCTGTGGTTCCACTACGTCGCAGTCAAGTTCTGTCTGAAACATTCTCAGTTCTGCTACTTGTGTGCCCACATCATTTGTAAGATCAAGTATCTGTAGCTGCATCTTGGCCCTCGCCACCTCCAACTGCACACCATTGGTCCCAACAAAAGCATTTCTTTTCATATACTTTCTTTCAGTCTTGCCAACATGTATTCCTATTAGAATGTTCTTCCAACCTTTTCTCTCATTCTCCTTTCAGTGGAGAGTACCAAACTACCTTTGTGTTTCTTTTGCATTGATAAAGAGGTTTCTTTTTTTTATCTGTTTTTGTTTTGCTAAATGTTTCTTTTTTAGAAATTGGCACCACCGTGCACTTCAAGCAAAAAGGTATGGCGCTTGTTCCTGATTACCTTCTATTATGTAAGCTAAAATGAAGATGTCACAGTGATATATTGTGAACTTACACACTTGAGTTTATTTCATCTCAATCATTTGGGGTCATTTCCATAAGATATCTACCACAATTTTTCCCCAAACGTAAACTGTCTCATTTATAAAATGCCCCTAAATCATGACCCCTGACTTGCTTTTGACAATTAATCCTTTTAAATCTCTGAAAATGAGCAGGTCCCCTTCACATACACACACCCTTTATTTGGTTTAAGTGTCCATAGTTTATTCTTGCTGAGCAGCAGTGACCACTGGCCAGTGATAGTTCCCAGGAGAGACAAGAGTTACTTTACTTTCCTTGTTGACTTTTCAGTTAGGTACATTGTTAAAGGAGGTAGAGCAGGATCTCCCACAATGACATACTTGAGCAGACCATAGTCCTCCTGTCTGGATTTCTCTCAGCTGTCTATAACCTCTCGCAGGTGGAGTCCACTTGCACTGCTAGACTCTCCACGGAGTCTTTTCATGCTTTCCAACTGCCGGTGTATCTTCTTCAACCACATGGTCCATAATCCATGTGCTTTTCCCTACAAAGACAATACAATCAAGTCAAAATTTGATAAAATGAACCTAAACGCAAATGATGACCAATTCTGAGGCACCATCTTTACAAATCCAACAAAAACCTATAGTGGTCTCTATCCCCAAACTAAACTGCTCAAGAACTGGCTCACTCAGACACCACTTCCCTTTAAGTACGTGTAGTCACCCATTTGGATTGGTGATTGAAGATGTCTTCATCTCTGAGCTTCAGCTGGCATAATGCCATCAAGATCATCCTCAGTAGTGAAGACCTAGCCTTGAAGGACTAAGGCTACCCATGAGCAAAAGTCACAGAAACTGTGGACATATTGTTGTTTGTCCCAGAAAAAGCCCAGCACCTTGTTTGCAGCCATTTCTGACAAGTACTCACAGAAGTTGACAGGGAAGAGACAATCAGAAATCTAGACATGACCAAGATCATTTGAGACAAGAAGGAATAAACCACTGTTCGCTTTATCATTTCTTTCTCCAATGCCATAATTATTAATTATACTTGACTCTTAAATGACTGTTAGTGGAATACATGATATCTTAATACATAGGTTTTTTTTAATTTCAAAAAAAAAACAAGATATATTTCTAGTGCCACCTGAAGTAGTTCTAAGTCTTCATCTACAATTTCAATATTTTGTATTTCAAAATATCAAATACTGTTATAATGGAAAAGATGAGTCTCACTTTATAGAAAGAGGAATATACTGCATATAGGCTTACATAAGAGAAGCCCAAAGTTAATTCTAAGACAGTTACTCAAAGAAAACCATAATATACCCCCTCTAATTGCCTCCAGCCTGGAAATTAGTCTAATTCTAGTTCATTCCCCCAGCAAGAGTTACTGGCTGAAAATGGACAGTAGGTGGCGCCAAAGTCAGTGTTATCAGGTTTCCTTTAAACATGGCTGCCAGGAAGCAAAATTACTTAAATCTGGAATCTAAAGGATATTGAAAAGACATTTAGGATATTCTGAAGATTATTTTTCTCTGTTATGTAACAGTCGCTTTGTGTATTTTTTAGTTGTTTGTTTCATTTTCATTTACTTCTTCATAATTCTAAGAACGTCAACTTAAATGTGTCCTTTAATTCTTACATGACTAAGCCGTATGTCGGAATAAAACTAAGATTGACCCTGATTCCTTAGTAATTGAAAGGAGAAAACAGGGATCATTGAGAGCATGATTTAATGGCTGTTTTAAATTAATCTGGTCCCAGATCTAGGAAACGAGTCCTAAGCAACTCAGGAGAAACAACAGAAATGTATGGACAGACTTGAACCATGAAGTCTCCAAGAGCATGCTATGTAAAACAGTTGTTGAAAATCTCTTTTCTTTTCTTTGAGATTTTAATGAAAGAAAAATTAAAATTAATTGGTGCAGTGTCCAGCATCAGATTTCTGGTGTAGAGACTTATGGAAAAATATCCACCGCTCCCTGGACATCAAGATGTTCTATCCATCTTTCCCTTAATTTCAAATTCCCTTTTGTAATGGAAGCATTGTCCTGACAAAGGCAAGTCCAGCATGGCCTTGAGTGGCTCTGTCTTGTCCTGGAATTGAGGCTCTACACCAAGTGCACTGACTCGAGAATTCCGATTTTACTACAGCTCAGATTTCCCCAATGGGGCAAACATTAAAATTGACCCAATTCACAAGCAAATGCCTTTGATCTAGGGGTATTTTATGAATTTCTGAAACCCAGACTTCTATAATTTAAAATAATGATGATGCTACTGTTTATTGACTGTTTGCGTGCTAGATATCACATATAAGAGTATGTTCACACACACATACAGAAATCAGCTAAATACCAAGATATGATTTGGGTCTGTTATATGAAAAAAGGCAGCAAATTTTTGAATTGTGGTTCTATTTGCCCATCAATTCTTAAGGCTGATTTATGTTTGCAGACTCTTGCTTTCATTATATCTGTCAGTATATAAAAGCACTTGCTGAGCCTGGCCATCTGGTGTGGGAAATAAGATTTATCATTTGCATTTCCACAAATAAGCAGAAATTTCATAACTATGAACTAAAACATAATTAATGACTTTGCTGATTATTCTTCCCTAAAATAGCCATTAACTAAAGTAGTCTCCTATGTAGTCATATATATCTATAATTGCATACACACTTGTAATGATCCTCCAACTAACACCCATTTACCCTTGCATTTTTTTTCAAGCCTATTTATTTACTCTCAAAATCAATTACGAAAAGAGCAAGTCATATAAGCACATCAAAGAGCTATATGAGAGCACTTAATAAATAATAATTGATAGGGATGAAGATATCTTTAACAGATCTACAAAATATATTTAAATGTGTAATAAGAATTCTATTAAGGATGAATGTAAAATTATTAACATTCTTAAAGCAGATTCCTTATATGAAATATAGAATAGCATGTGAAAGTAATAGTTAATTCTTAATTATGTATTTTAAAAGACCAGTGATATATGTGAATTTGTATACATGCATATAAATATTCATAAATATATATACAACATAAATATGTGTATGTGTATATATATGTATATATGCATTGGCAAGAATGTTATATGTTATCTAAGTCTATGCATTTATATATATATATATTTCATTTTTCAGTGACAGAATTTTTGCTTTCTCAAATATTTACTACTCTTCAAATAAAATGACAAGTCTGGGCTTTTTACGCTTCCCCAGATACCACTCAACTCCAAGATGTCTGAAAGATAATCAAGCCTGTCCCAGCACTAAAAATGAATTTAAAGAAACAGGGCAAATTAGACTTTCTCTGAAAATCATTTGTTTCACACTATCTCTAGGACAAAACAAAAATCTTATTTTGCTTAAACCAGTATGGCCTCAATTTGGTTCTAGTCATTCTGTCTTGGAAGCTTTGCTGACACACTAATCGAGACAAATGTGCCTATGAGCTCCTGCCTAGCTCCTAGGCAACTAACACACCCTGAAGCCTATGGTTGAAGCTTTGGGAAGTTGCTTTTAAGAAAGTTTAAAAGTCCCAAAGGTCAAGCTTAGTGGGGCAGGGCATAGAGACAGAGCCCTGGAAAGGCCTTTGAGCCAAGACTAAGGACACCTGAATTCTAGTGCAGACCCACAATATTAATTGGGTGTTTTCTGGAGGAAGCATAACCTTTCTGAACTTATCCACATGATAAGACTGAGAACTAAGGTCCTTTCTGCTAAATGATCCTAGAGCTAATCAGAAAATTATAGAATGGGTTAGCTGAATGTTTCTTTTGCATTTCCCTCACTTATCTATGATAAAATTCATTTTATACTCTTAAGTGGCTCAACAGTTTCTATATTCACTATTTGATATTAAGTAATAGTTTTAATATTCTTAAGAAGTCAATCCAGTCAAAAGTTTCCATTGCAAATCATTTTTGCTGAGAGTGGGTGGCCTCTTGTTTTTGTTTGTTCTGGCTCTTGTTTAAAATAAGCCCACATTTCATTTATGGAATATTTGGCATGACTCACCAGCATGCCTTGGCAGTGTGACTTCCCTGAGCAGGGATGACAGCAGAAACTCAAGAATCAGACTCTTGGGTGAAAACCCCATATTCTCTGCTTCCTAGTTGTGTAGACATTTACAGTAAAAGTGATTCAACTGAATAGGGTGCATGGCAGGCCCCACATCTCAGCGTGGCTGTCTGCCCTTATTTGTAAAGTCCTCATAACAGTCCCTTCTGGAAAGCATGCTTAGCTGTTTGTTGGTTCTGTTTGGTTATATTTGTGTTATTATTATGCTATTATTTTCCAAAAAAACAGATTAGAAGAAGTTGACATGTCCCCTCTTGCTTTACCTTTGATCGGGTATGTATGTTGACAGATTTGGAAACATTCACACAGTAGAGGATGCAACTATCACAGTGTTAAATGCACATATTCCTTGACACACTCATCCGTACACTGATCTGCCTGACACCCCTCAAAACTGCATCACAGACACACCAGTTTCTCTTGTGCGTGTCATTGTCTGAGCATGTAGTCTTAAATAGAAAAGATGCTGCTGTGGAAAATACTAATCTTTTCTCCTTTTAATGTATTCATATGTACAGAACGATACAAAAGGATAAAATGAGTCAAAAGGCATAGGAGGCAAGCGCTTGAGTTAATCGTACATTCGCCGCCCAATCTTCTGTCAACATTCAAACCCTTTCTCTACTTTCCGTTCCATGCCAGTCTCCCTCTTGAACCCAGACCCTTACCCCACCCCAACCCCCAAATCTGTCTACCTTGACAAGACCTGGGTGGCAGCAGGAAACCAGCCGCTGCAGAATGAACTCAAAACAAGTTCAAGCCCCTCTTCTGCCTGTGGTTTGAACTGTGTCTTAACCTCTATGGGTTGGGTTGGTTTGTTTTGTGACTGTTATTGCCTTTGCTTTCCACTTTGAAGGTGTCAAATGAAAAGTTTGGACCAGATGACCCTTTCTATAAGTGTTGACCCTGCCCAGCCACAGACTTTACTTTGACACTACTTCTCTTTAACAAATAAGTAACTACTGCTGAGAAATGAGTCACAGATTGGTTCCACGATTTATTGATGGAGTTACTGTGATGTGTGGTTGTGGGCTGCAGGACCCTAGCCCAAGATTGGAATATTCCTGAGCATTGGGGGTATGGGGGGAGGGGTGTGGTCAATGCACGTGGGGGGGCCGCCAGCGACTCCAGCAGGCCAGTCAGTAAGAGAGAGCCAGTTTACAGCCTTCTCCAGAGAGAGTTTTATATTTAGAAGTGTCCCAGCCAGTGAAACTCCTTGCATACTCACTAACTCAAGGAGTAGAAGGATTTGGGAAAGATTTTGAGCCTTTGTTGGGCTGTTAAGTATCTGACCTTGAGGCACTAACCCGAGACACTTACGACTGCGTTAGCAATCCACTATCACATGGCGGGCTCTGGATGTAACTCTTCTCTTTTCTGTCTCTCTTCTGCACTGCAGGACCCGGGTCGGTGAGAGGAATAAACGGATCCATCAGTCTGGCCGTACCACTGTGGCTGCTGGCAGCATCTCTGCTCTGCCTTCTCAGCAAATGTTAATAGAATAAAAATTGAAAAATAATTTTAAAAAAACACACAAAATGCGTCACACAGGATACAGAAAGAGAGAGAATGAGATGGGGGGAGACCGTTTATTTCACAACTTTGTGTGTTTATAAATGAAGGGAACATAAGAAATCAGAGAAGAAAATACAACATTTAAAACAATTTTAAAATCCATCAATAAAGATTTGCCTATCAGTCAGGGTAAAACATTCTACCAGGAAATGTGTATATCTAAGCTAATGTATGCTGTGTAATTCTACATCATGGATGTAACTAAGAATTCCAGATGTTGTAAAAATAAGAAAAGCGAAGACTTACCAGTTGGATATTATCACCCCTCTCCCCCACCTACACACACACACAAACACAAACACAAACACACACACTTTATCCTTCCTTCATCCTTTTACATCTGTGGGGAAAGAAAAGAAAAGGTCTTGCCTTTGATGTTTCTATTTTCATCCTCTTTTTATTCTGTTTTTCATTTGAGCTGACTCGTAGCCACTTCAGACTTTGGATGGGCTTCATGCTGGAGTCCTGTGCTGAGCCTTTATCTGGTTTGCCGCCACGATCTTTCCTACATTTAAGACCACCCCCTTCCTTCCCAGTGTTCTATCTCCCCACCTGTATCCCAGATATCTCCTCCTTATCTCCGCCCCCCAGGGTCTCTTCACCCCAACCACCGCTCCTCCCCACCCCCAGCTCTAGTCAGGCCGCAGATGCTAGGAAGTGCCATTTTAATTTTCTCCACTGTGTGTGCGTGCTCAGCTCTCTCGCTCTCACGTGGGTGTACATGTGTGTGAGCGTGTGTGTCTCTCTCTAAAGCATGCCAAGGTAATGGTCCATGTGTACATAGATTCATTGTGCTGTAGATACTGTCCCGCATTGTAATTGTGAGATGCGGCTGTGACAAGTTGCTGGGGGAGATGGTGGGGAAGGAGCAGGAAGCGGAGTTTCTCCCCCATTCTTGGCTGTCACATGACATCAGTGTGTATTCCAACCAAGCAGTGCCCCTTCCAAGGGCAGAACCTCATATTCCTCCTAATCTAATCATCAGAACCCAGTCGAGAGTCACTCAGAATCTCACTATAAATGAAAGTGCCTACTATTGATGGGGTGAGCAAACAGTAGAAGGAACCAGTGACTTGCATGAGGGGACCTAGGAGAGAAGGCTCCTGATTTGACTGTTTCATGAGTCTGAAGGATTCACATACTTCCTGGTTTGGGGCAGCCTTGGCTCTGCTCCACTAAGGAATGACTAGAATATGCTGAATAAATTCCCAGGAGCAGGAAGGTCTCCAAGTGTTAACTCCCCACGAAAGAACGATGAGCCATGTGGAGACCAGAAACAGCCCCGTTTTGCCCCTACCTAAATTTCAAATAATACTGCATTTGCCCTATGGGTACCCTTGAGCAGAGATTGTTTTCTATCTCAGATGAAACACAGTGAGAGCAAGCAAGGGCAAAAAAGTAAACAGTTGCCCTGGTCCATTCTCATAGACACATGGTCAGAGTTCTAATACCAAGCATTGAGTGCAACAAAAAGGAATGCTCTCCTTGTGTTCCTTCACAGATTTCTGTCCTGTTGTTCTAGGCTAACAATTGATTTCGTTGCCCACATCATCTCCCTTCAGGTCCACTGATAGCGTTTATGACACCATCATTCATAGCCTTTCATTATCCTAGACCAGGCTACCAGAGATGGCATTATTTTCACTATCCCTGATTACTTTGGACTTCTACTCTTCTGGAAAAGATACAGTGGGGGGATATGGTGTTGAAGTTTACATCTAAAAGTGTCATCATCACATCAACTCTGAAATGTGAGCTGGTTCCTTCGCCAAATGAGCTGGGATACACCTACCATTTAGGCAGGAGTTACATGCACATCACAAGCTTGGCCTCATCACAATGTTAGAGGATTTTCTTAGCAAAGGCCTTTCAGATAGAGTTGGATTTCTGTATGTATATGTCTTTGTCAGGAAACCAACTGTTATTTTCAAAAACTGCAGGAGGCATTGGAAGTGGCTCAGTTTACAAAAGAAGAGAAAATTATTATTGAGCTCATGATTGAATGTATTTCAGCAGCGTAAAATATCTCATCAAGGGTTAGAACCTGGAAAATAGCTGTCACATGAGAAAACAAGAAATTTCATAACAACGCGTCCAAAAAAGGAGAAAGAAAAAAGAAAAGGAAAGAAAGAGGCAATAGGGAGGGAATATGAAATAATCTGCAGTTTTTATTGTTAGATTTGGTTAATTGAAGGCACGTTGCATGAGTCTCATCTTTGAGGGGAATGATATTCTCAATGAGCGACATTTCCAATCTCTTCTAGGGGATTCTATTTGTCCTAATTAATCTCTTAAGATTTGGCTTTTTAAACATGAAACAGAAAGACCTATTGGACTTGGGGACGGGTAAGTGTAGTTGAGGAAGATCCTGGCATAGGACAGAAATTCTTTTCCAAGAATGTGGCCACTAAAGGATTGGGAAAGTGAACCATATTCCTATGCTGCATCAATTATTGACAATCAGGGATTTCTCTGCATTTAGTCTTCTTAGAATGGGAATAGAAGCATATCTCTCTTGATATTCAATACTCCCCTTCTACTGGAGAGCTAACCACATTCTTAAGTGCAAGTTGTGGAGGAGTGCATGCTGACTGACAGATGTATACAAAAAGAAAGTTACAGCTGTTAATTCACTTTAGTGCCAGTTTCAGAAACGAGTTCTCCTTGCATGTCATAGATTTTAATAAGACAACTCACTTTTTTTCATCATCTCCATCTTTTAAAGACTAGATCTTGGTTTTATGGAAGGAGATTCTCCATTGGAAGAAATGTTTTTGTCATCTCAGCACCATTTGTTCCTGATTTTAATATAATGACCATATATTAAACACAATTAAACGTATATTGAATATTGTGGTGTTTGCCTATATCTCTGCAGGATCTGGGAATTTTAAAACTTTGTCCTGGCTCCTGTGTCAGAGCAAACATTGAACCCAGAAGTGTCATAGGTTTTAAAATGTCTCTAAGCAATGTGGAGAATGCAGAATCTGGAGACTGGAAAAAGGTCAGTTAAAAAAAATAGAAGCCACCTACATTGTCTCAACATGGGACTTCTTGGAATTAAGCTCTTTACATTATGACATCTTCAAGAATTTTGTCCATTGGAAATCAAAGCTTGGATCCCTGCACTGAATAAGAGTCAACTGGTTGGAAACAATTTAGTGAAAGGAATACAATACATTGATTAATATGAATGGTTAATATATTTAATGCCCTTTGTAAAATGAAATGGCACCATTCATAACACAAAATCCTTAGACATGACTTTTAGTTTACATAAGTAGAAATGATCTTGACCGGGGATACTTACTAAAGAATGAGAACTATCCCAGATTATACAACTATAGAATTATATCCTCTATATAATCATTCATCAGAATTCTTTTTTTCTTGTTTTGAGACATAATATCCCCTTGCCCTAAAAAGAATGAAGACTTAAGGAAAATCCAATATATGTTCTGTTAGGAAGAATTATTCCATTATTCCTTTGCCTTGTCTTCCAAGTCAGGCAGACTTCTTCCTTGCTGTGGGCAATTATTATTACATAATCAGACAACTGGGGCTATTCATAGAGACCTTGTAAAAGTACTCGTGATTTTCATGTTCTTGGAGGACAGAAGCAAAATCTGTTTCTCCTCCAAAAGTGGACTTACCTCCTTTGCATACAGAAACTAAACTCCTCAGCATGAAATTATTTCTGAGTCATTACCTTCCAAGTTATTAGCTTCTTACCTATTCAAGTCATAGATTTTATCCCCAGGTTGGTTGTGGTTTCACTGTTTCTATTATCTGTCTCCCCAATTCTGTCATTTTGGTTTTTGTGGGCCTTGAATTATTTGTGGATAAATAATATATATGTGTATGTAATTTTTTAATCTTATCTTTACAGATGCTATATTTACAATATCGTATGTATTATAAGACAAATCTAGAATAATTGTTTAAACTTAAAAAGAAGAGTACTGAATTTGGTTTAGAAAAAGAGCTATGCTTCATTTAGAAAGATGTGGAGCCCCATTTTTCCCACTGTGACTAATTTTTGAAAGGAAGTTGTTTATGGACCATTGCTTCATGGGATTACCCATGGCCTTATTTTTCTTCATAAACTATTATCTTGGATGTAGTTTTAGTTCCCAACAACTACCATTTTTTTATAGAAATACTAGTATAAAGCTATACCTGACCTATACTATTCTGAAGATAAATATTGAACAGACCACAAAAATGATGAGCTAAGACCTTGAGTTAAGAAATGCAAGTCCAGTTTAGAAAGCTTCCTTCTTCCATAACTATTTAAAATATTTCTCCCCCAAAGACTGCATTTGCCCCAGTGATGTAAATTTTCCATCATGGTTGGCATAATATCTATAAAACATCTCACTAAAGTGCAAAATGGAGTTTACATTTATGTGCATGTAGTGAAGAGAAGTCACCTCTTCTTACTTGCATGTAGTTATATTGTTAAATGTGGCCAACTGAAATTCAAGAATTTATTTTCACGCAGTGATATATACATCACTTTCCTCTTGGCAAGGGAACTGGTATTAACCTTAGGTTTAGGCTTAACATTTACACCAGCGCAAATGTTTATGAATATTATGGAAAACTTATTTTAAAATCTTGATTTCCTTTCAGCGCATTTACATACTGTGTGCTGATTAATAAATTAGGCACCAATCATGTGTAAATCAATGTAAATCACTAGTTTATGTACATAATATCAACTATGTAAACTTCATTTTTCATGCAGGGCCAAGTTCAGTGAAGTCTAGGAATCTCAAAGAGAAAAAATCAAATAAAAATAAATAAACCCAAAGCATTTCACAGGTCAGAATGGGAAGAAGTAAGATGAATGGCCCTAACAGGAAGTTGCCCCATGAGAAGGTAGGAGGCCCACAGGAGCTACTCAACCTCACATTCTGCTCAGCCCCCAGAGGCCCCCTATCCGTTCCCTTAGGACCCAAGTGGGGTTTCTCCCAGCTGTTGCTTCACACCAGATCAAGAGACAGGGAGGGAGAAATTTTGAGGACTCACGTGCCTGTAGAGTCAATTCCTGAGTATCTTACTTACTTCTGTTGCTCCTTACTTACCTCTAAAACATGCTATTTCAATAGTCCAAGGATGTCACTATACTTTCATGAGCAAATCGTACTGCATTTGTATTTTCCATCCAACAAAGGTATTGGTACAACTTCTTTGTTATCTTGATTCCAACAAATTCTGGGGTATAAGAAATGTTATATTCTAGAGAAATATCTTGTTAAGTCACCCAAGGAAACCACTTAGTGTTTCTATATACCCATCTCAAATATTGCAAATGAGATCCAGAATTATTTTCAGAGGGGGTATATCCATCAGACATGTTTTCTTAGAGTCTTTTTGAAGAAACTGGTGTGTGCCACAGTATAAACTAATCCTCCTTTATAATCTGAACAAGTGGTACATAAAAGTCATCAGAAAAGATGATCTCAGGGACCATGTCAATTCTCTGCAAGGACTGTTATAGCAAGAAATATGGGTCAAATGAACATTATATTCAAAGTACACTTCTCTACCCAAAACAAGTGGCACCTTTCAAGTGAGGTGGAAAAGTGTGCTAGGTGGGGAGTCCAGAGTCTGCCGTTGGGGCTGACTACAAACAAGCTGTGTGACCTTAGGGAAGTCACTTAACCTTCCTGAGTCTTGACTTTTGCATTCTGAAAGTGAAAATTTTTGATGATGTCTCTGAAACTTCTATCAGTTCAAAACTTTCTGATTCTGAAATAAGGACTAAATCCTCATGTAAGCCTGTGCCCAGCTTATCATTCCATTCTTGTCTCTGGTCTCTGTATTATCTTCATTTCTCAAAACTATCATCTCATCATCTGCATTTCAAAAGTCAAAACTTCTGAGATGAGAGGGTTCCTGGACTGGTCTAAAATTATCTTCTTAATAAAACTTCTTGGCAATGTAGAGAAGGGACACACTCAGATCATACTATGAACATTGAAAGGGCTGGAATTGTTCTCTTATTTATATCATTGAATCCTAACAGCTGAACTATGTTCTAGTACCTTTTCACAGGAAGGAAAATACCTAGTGGGGATCAGGCATGTACCCAGTAAGGAAGTAGCGCTTATGAAAGGAAGAATCAGTTTTCTCTCATCCTGATCCAAATGCCTCCTTAGAGTAAATGTGTGTCCTTGGAAAGGTTTTCCTGGTGCTGATGGTAGTAAGCACATGGTCCCAGGCAGGTTCAAAAGGCTGTTGTGTGAGAAAAGAGAGAGAGAATATATCTTGCTTGGGAAGGAATTTCCCGTAAGTTTCGCTAAACCTGACTTATAGGCTGTGAAATCAAGCAAGTGGATAAAGAGAAAGTAAGCTTTGTCTTTTTACAAGCACAAGTTAATTCTATTTAAAGAAAACATTGAAAAATTAGATGAGAAGACACACATTTTAGAGAGTTACAGAAGTTGGTAAGAGTAGCTATGAAATCCAAAATCAAACTGGAAGTTAAGTTCTCTGAGAAGAGAGGAAGCAGCAAGGATGTTTTCTCAGACAGTTAAGGAAGAACTGCTTTCTCGAGCCACGTTCTGGATGGGTAGAGCGCAGACCCACTTGTCTTGACCCATTAAAATACGTCCCCAACCCATGTTAGTGCTCTGCTTAGCACCTGTCAAAGATAATCATTCCTTAGAGAATAGAAAGAATTTAATCTTTGATCCACTGAAGAGAAGGGATTATTCATAGCCCCCCAGCATAATTATCACTTTATGTAGATAAGGCTATACAACGTACTTAGATACTTAGGAAGCTCTCTGTAAGGGGGAGAACACCTGCCCATAGGACAACCCCCCACTTCATGGTCATCTCAGAGGTGCCTCGCTTTGAGTGGTGCTCCTGATCGCCTCCGACAGCTACTGTCCTCTGCACAAGCTCTCTCCATGTAAAGCCAGGCACAGAGCACTCATCTGCTTCTTGCAAATGAAGACAACACACGGAACTTCTAGCTTCATGGCATGCAGCAGGAATTCTAAGCTCTCTGAAGCCTTTTTTGAACCCATGTCCATGTCTTTGCTCTTCATCAGAGGACATAAGTGGTTCATCAGGCAAACTGTAACCAAACATTTATTCCCTGAGTATTTCCTGAGAATGGGGAAGGTTAAAGGGAGGAAATCCAGAGGGAGAGAAGCCCAGGGAAAAACCTCCAACTTGCTTTCCCTACTACTGCTTCACCCCTTCTTTCTCACTGCCCTACTGAAGGGTGTATAAATCCTGCTCTTGGTTAGAATTCTCCTATTAACAGTGTTATATACATATAAATATATATAAATATATAAATATATTCCTTTTTTTCAGCCCTGTAGACATAAACTGAACTTTCCTCGATGATACAAACACATGGCCATTTTTGTTTGGGTTTTTTGTTGTTCAAGGTTTTTTTATTTTTGTTCATTGGGTGGATTTTTTTCCCTGGACTCTAGCTCTGTGAAGGAAAATAAAAAGCGCAGTGTGTGTAAAAAAAAAAAAATTAAAATTATGAAAAGCTTTTTTCCTTTTCTTTTTAAATGTATTTAAATTCTGTTCCTCTCTTCTGTTACTTTACACGTATGAATGCTCTGCTCTTCTGTGATCTTAAAACAAAATGAAATAAACGTGAAAAGGAGATGTGTCTTCGTTGACCTGAGTCAGTGATCTTGTGGTTGGCTGCACTGTGTTCTGGCTGAATGGAGGTTTTCATGAGTAAGATAGGAAATGAAGGCAATGATACTGAAAATCATGGAGGAAGAGTAGACAAAATACTGAAGAATCACTCAGGTACTCTGTCAGTGTCTTCACTATCATAGAAGGCGACATGGTATTTATAATACTTTTCTTCATTTAAGCAAAGAATTTCTCTAAAAGTTTTTTCCTTTTCCTCCCTTAAGGGATCGTAAGAAATAACCACAGACTACCTGATTAATAGATAAAACAATAAGAAGTTCTTTGTTGTTGTTGTTTTTGGAATTAGTAAGAACTTAGGACATGATACCAACAACATTAGGAAATATGCCCTTTCTTTAAAATCTCCATCACATGGGGTTATCTTTTCAGGGTTTCTTTTAACAAGATCTCATCTGACAGCAAAGAAGGAACTAAACTACATTCTAAGGCCCCCTATTATATCTACTTATGAAAAATGCAGCTTGTTTTTTCTTCTTGCTGAGAGTTGTCGTCTTTACAAAGTATTTTCAGAAATTTTACAGAATTCCTTTAGCATTCCCTAAGACAGACAGGAGAGATGGCAAGAGAAAAAGAAGCAATCTACAAACTAAGCAGGTGAGGGTGAGTTGGCTAATTGACATCAGCGTCATTGGGAGGGTCTGAAGTTTGTCTCTCAGGAGCCAAATTAAATCTGGAAAACCAAAGAACAGATCTCAGGGTGAGTGACCAGGGGAGAGAGAGGGGGTGGGCACTTTTGATCAATTTCAACAAACAAAAAATGGTCTCAGAAGCCAAATCCTGGGTCTCTGATTTAAAGAGATAGCTTTAAAGCCCAGATTCACCAGGTTTGAATTTTATATAAAAACTCTGAAAATTCCCTTTTTCTTTGAATTTGACAAACACGAGTTTAAATATACAGTCCTCAAACAAGACAGACCTTACTTTGGTCAAGTTCTGGGTCTCAGTCCATCCTCCTTTCTGGCCAGCTAGCTATAAATTTAGGGGTTCCTACCATCCTCTTAGATATAATAATTTTTTAAGATTTATTTATTTATGCATACAGAACTGGGGTACAGGCCAGAGCTGTGGGGGTGGTGAGAGGATTCATCCAACACAGAGTGGGGAGCAGAACAGGCAGATCATTGAAGTACACTGCTGAGGGGAGCAGCGGACCCTCAGCAGGAGAGGTCTGCCGCGCCATGTGAGTCACCTCCAGGGTGGGTGGGAGTCAAATTCATGCTGAAGTCGCTTTAGCTTCTCAGTGCTGTGCTTTAACCCATTGCACTACCAGGGAAGGCCCCAGGTATAATAATTTTTTTTAATGACACTGAGAACTCAGGGACCAATTATACTTATGATCACCACTTTTCTATGACAAAAGGAAACAAACCAGAACCAGTCAAAGGGAGAGATGCGTAGAGCAAAGTTTGAAAGTATTTCAAATGTGAAGTTCTCATTGTCCTTTCTCTGTCCAGTCAGAACTCATTGTTTTCCATGGTGTAGTTATGTGACAAAGCATAATGTTGCCAACCAGAGAAGCTCACTCAGTACAGAGTTTTAATTAGGGTTTCATTACATCCACCTGACTGACTGCACCACTGAACTCAATCTCCAAGCTAAAAAGAAGGTGGGTCTGTGATTCTCTCTCTCTCTTTTTTTTTTAATATTTATTTATATATACAGAACTGAAGTACAGGCCAGAGGTGGAGGGCAATGAGAGGACCAGAGACAAAGTGGGGAGCAGAACAGGCAGATCCACAAAGTACACTGCTGAGGGGAGCAGGAGGCTTGACAGAAGAGGTCCACTGTGCCATGTGGATCACTCCTGGGGCCAGGGATCGAATTTATACCAAAATGGCTGTGGTGAGTTTGCAGTAACCCATTGTGCTAGCAAGGAGAGCTGATTCTCATCTCTTAAGGAAAGCCTAGTTATCACCCTGTGGTCCTTTCACACCTACAATGGTGAAAGGAAAGGACTTAGGAAACATTTGTCAAAATTTCATCCAACATATGGTTGTTGCTCCTTCTAGCAGGGGCCAACGCAATAGGTGACCCCATCAGAGACTCGGGAATATGGAAATGATGTTGGTCAGCTTAGAAGAAATGCGGCAGCTAGAGCCCCAAGATGTACTACTGACAGTCATCAGCGCTCCTAGGCGATTTTCAGGGAAGTTATTGACATCATTCTCTCAGCTTCTGTGTCTTTGCCTTGGAGCATAGGCATGTATTAATATTTTCATCTCAAACCCTTGGAGCATAACTCTGTCTTTTTATTGGTATAGTTCCTTGACAATTAGCATAAGAAACACTGCTGAGTTTTTGCCTTATTTTTAATATGTAATCTCCCAGGCTCTAGACCAAACTTGAGCGTGCATACCTTTCAAGTATCTTCTGTTTATTCAGATGCATTATTACTTGAGTAAATTCGGGGGGGGGGAGGGGGGAGTGAATGAGAGCAAGAGAGGGACATATAGAGATTAATTGGTCAGTATGTCCTACCAGTAACACTGCCTGAACAGGAGCCCCAGATGAATCCCAAACGCAGGCAAAACCAAGTCCCCTACACTCACATGGCCTCCCTTTTCTATCCAGCATGACTGCTTTGCTTCGTTCCCAGCAGTCCCCTTCAAGAACTCAAGGATTATTCTAGAGCCATGATGATGAGAGTTGGCATGCTAGGAGCCTGAGATCTCTTTAGCATGGAGGGGGGGAGGTGGAGCCCAAAAACATTAGTGGGTGTAGTTCACTCAAGATATACTGTCCCCCAACAGTCACATCCTAAGATTTAAAAAATTGGTCTCAGGATCTGACTAATAAGACACTATGGAAAGTAACCCAGTTTTCACAGGGTATCATTGATCTTTTGTTACACAAACTCTTTCTTCCACTAAGAAAGTCCCAACAAGTCTTCTTGTCAATAAGACTACTTATGGATCAATTCCCACTTCCTAAGTCTTCCCCCTATTTCACCCTAATTTGTGTACTTTCAAGAACATATGATACTTGGATATCAATTCATTGGACCACCAAGGACCCCAATTACCCCATTACATTCTACCTTAATATCCTAAAAGGATATTGAAAAGAAACAGGAGATGAAAACCAAGGAGAGCTGGTTCCCACGAATGGTTCAGGCTAACATTATAGGCCTGCAGTCCCGGGGCTGCTAGGGACAAAAGACATATGGATGTTTTCTTTGCACTTGTCTAAAGATCTGAACCTGAATTAACTGGAATGAGAAAAAAAAAGAAAAGTTTTTGCTTTAAATCACCCTAAACCGACAATAGACTCCTGACCTTCCCAAAGTCCTTTTAAATATAAGTGGAAAGTAGACATTAAAACGAAAATTCCTAGTGGATACTGTGGCAGTTTTCATTAACATTTGAAGTGGTTACATTTAATGGTACATTTAACTAAATCTAATTTATCCATGATAAAAGGATGTGGCCATTAAAATGGGCATCTGTTGAACAAACTGAGGCTCTGCATTCAGTGATGTGTGATTATAACACCAAGAATATTACATGCTGACAGCAGACTCATTAGCATTAATTGCTGCATTTAGTCCTACTTAAAATCCTCTGTATATATAACATTTACTAAATGCATTATCCTTTTTGAAATAAATACACCCTAAAATATCATCTCATATGTAATAATGGAACGGATTCAAAGTTGGCCCATGTGATATTGTGGTAAGAAGAAAGGAAAGCTAATGATGACATCTGTAGCCCACTTAAAGATGGAAAACCACCACTTGTTATGATAGTACAAAATTCGGCCTGAAAGGCGAGGATCACCATAGGGGTGTGGCAGTGGCAAATAGAAATTTCCCTCCCAGTATTTAACAAGTTGTTAAAAGGGAGTGGGGGCCAACTCTGGGGAGGTGTGGGTTCACACATGCCAATTCCTGTGCTAGTCATCTTTCATCTGTTTGCTCATTCACAAAGCTTTACACAGAGACTAGTAAAGGCATCATGCTCAATTATTCACTTACTTCCCAAGGGCAAGATCCCACCCTTTGGAGTTTTCTGACTGGCTGGGAAGATGGACATTTAACAAGGATTTACAATACAATCCTTTCATAAGAAAAAGAAGGTGTTTTAATGGTCCTCTCTTTTATAGTCCTGCCATTTCAACAAAGAGAAATGCCTAGAAAGGGTGTAGGTAGGAAGGGGGTCACTGAATGTGTATAAATTAAATGCTTCGTGTGAATGAAAAAGGTAGCTTTTCAGAACCCTCTACCAGGTGCAGTGTGTGAATTCTTCCTTTCGTTCTGGTTTTTTTTTTTTTTTTTAAAGATTTATTTATTTGTACATACAGAACTGGGGTACAGGCCAGAGGCTCAGGGGTGGTGAGAGGCTTCACCAGAGACAGAGTGGGCAGCAGAACAGGCAGATCGACGAAGTACACTGCTGAGGGGAGCAGCGGGCGGGGCAGGAGAGGTCTGCCACGCCATGTGGTCACCTCCGGGGGCAGGCGGGGATCGAACTCATGCGGAAGTGGCTTTAGCTTCTCAGTGCTGTGCTTTAACCCGCTGCGCCACCAGGGAGGGCCCCGTTCTTGTTTTTTTTAAGTTGTATTTATTCATTTTCTGCATACCAAAACTAGGGTGTAGGCCAGAGATATGGGGGTGAAAGGATTCATCAGAGATAGACTGAGGAGCAGAACAGGCCGATCTACTGAAACACACTGCTGAGGGGAGCAGTAGGCGAGACAGGAGAGGTCTGCTGTGCCATGGGGGTCAGCTCCCTGGCCACAGCAGTGATGGCATTGAGACTTAACACCTAGGCTACCAGGGCAGCCCCTTCCTTTTCCTTTTAAACTCTTTGATTCTAACCTGTGCTTCCTGCTCTTCTTTCAAAATGTCATGCACACTTCCTCCCATCCAGGCCTACATGTGTGTGTGCACACACACACTCTCTCTCACACACACCTGTCCATATCAATGTTTTCTTGACT